AGGACACTTCTAAAAAATGTCATTTAAAAATAAGTACAACATAATTTATTTCAAAAATGTTCTAAAATAACTTATTAGAATACACGAGTACTTACATAAGATGCAGGACTATTTGGTTATATAAACTTAAGTTTTATAAAATTACGTATAAAAGCGATTTTGTTGTATTGCAGTTCAGTAATCAACTCACCACAATGAGAACCATTGGCACACTGGAGTGTTCACCCACGGCTGCATAGACGGACCTAGATGGGTGGTTAGGTGGCACGTGCCACCGTATTGTTCCTCCGTGGTAGGGTAAAAAAAATTAGGTTCGTGAAATGTGCAACCGTTTTATTCTATAAGATGCAACTGTTTTATATGGTGCCACCGTATCCAAAAAATTTTGGGTCCATCCCGGCTGGTCCACTGTTCTTTGGATACCCAAGTCTCGGTCCCTACAATTTGCACTGGAGACAAGGTTCCCCACCCATCTAAACCTCATCTTCAGCTGTCTAAAAAGACAACAACATCCATAGCTCACTGCCACAATGCATCGCCATCAAGAACTAGCTATAGTTAGCTGCTGAAAAAAAAAAAAATATATATATATATATATATATATATATATATATATATAGACTTGGGATCATGTGAAACCAGCCTGTTTTCGTGAGACCCGTGAGATCAGCATTTTACACTTGAAACTTCACAGCAAAATGCTGTGAAGGTGACTATTTAAAACCTTCACAGTATTTTTGCTGTGAAGGTTCGACTTTTTTTAAACCTTCACAGTGTTTTTGCTGTGAATGTTCGACTTTTTTTAAACCTTCACAGTGTTTTTGCTGTGAAGTTTACGTGTAAAAATGTGGTCTCACGGGTCTTACGAAAACAGGCTGGTCTCACGTGAACCCAACCCTATATATATATATATATATATATATATATATATATATATATATAATATACCTTGCATCGCAATGCCATTTGAACATAATTAGTAGAAAATTAATTCAGTTTATGTCTTGTTAGTTTTAATCAATTACTAGAAAACAACGTATCAGGGACGAGAATCAGTGACGAAAAAAATCCCTGGCTTATCAGCGAAGGATTAGCGAGGGAAATGCCAAAACCAGTCCTCTCGCTAAATCTAGTCATTCTGGTGCAGTATAAATCGATTAATTCAAAGGGAAGGCACATTTCAGCTATCCTATACAGAAATTTTCAGATAATTAGTTACAAAAATCAAATTTTTGTAAGATCTTGAAATCCCCTATCATCAAGTAAATTAACATAATAAAATTCTTCGGAGACTAAGCGATTAATTTGTTACCGACAAAAGCAAACATTTAACGGTTACTCAACTTTATTTTGTAGTCGCGTGCTTCGAATTTGTTTTCTTGTTGCTTCGTATGATCGATAGCAAGCACTCATTTATCATTGTGCCGTGCACGTCTCACTTTTTCCCCGGTTTTTTGTGGAATTTATGGCCACTCTACGATTATACCTGCCACAAATTGTGCAGCATGCAAATGCAACAAAAAGAGGTATGATGATGGTTCCTGACCATGAAAATGACTTCACATTCTTTCCATTGTTACTGTCATCATTTTTGGGGAACCTTTCTATCAATCATTTTTCTCATCATTTTCTTGCTTCATGATTCTTTCTCTATAGATGCTGACAGTTAATTCTGCATATGTGGGTACTGTCTACTAAATGACACAACACGATGCTTGAATCTTACACTTTCTTCTGACACATTTTATCGATCTTCAATCTTTACATATGGCTAAAAGATTACTTGCCTTCACATCTGGGTTAATTTCAGCATGATTTGAATCACTTGATCTTGTGTTCAGGTTAACTGTTTTGATGGGCACCCTTTATGTAGCTTTAGATAGAGTATAACGAAAGGCAGTCAACGTTCCGTAAATTAGGCGTCAAGTTGTGCCCCCCATTTCGTGATCATCAGCACCAGATCCCTTTAAAAAGGGGATCCTTCTTTAAGTGTAAGGAACATGTCATTTTTATATATTGTTTTCTAAGTTACAACAGTTATCAGCAATAGAATGATTAGTAGATCTTCTTGAATTTAAAAGGGGCTAAATTGAGTTCATATGCATACATATCCTTAGCTGCAGTTAGCAGCAGTGGTAGCGATAGTAGTCCGTGTTTGTTGTCTTGATGAATACAAGCAAATGCCTGAGATCCTTTTGGGACCATTTAGTTTCTTCTTAATCTTTCTATTATTTGGCTACTAAAATTAATTTTCTGCTGTATCCCTGCACATTAAAAAGTCTTGAATCTCTCTCTCTCTCTCTCTCTCTCTCTCTCTCTCTCTCTCATGTCATGTCGTTATCTTTGCTGGGCTGCCTGCATATCACTCAGAAAGAGAAGTTAAGAGATCTAAAGACTAGTGTCAGCAAGAATCTATAGGCCAAAACAGAAGTTTATAACATACACAAATATATACAAATTCTTTTTGAAGAATTAGTTTTTCTTAACTTATGATTAACAAGCCCGTTTAATTGTGTAATTTATGTGGGATATGAAAAAAAGTGTGCTTTATGAGTACTCCTGTTTGAACGAAAGATTTTGGTAGAAAAACGACAACACTAATCAATCATATCGCTTGATTTATACAGGTGTTCAACTATCTAAACAAAATGTTAATCGTCATCAAACAATCATCATTGAGGTATTTACTTCAAGCAGTTGTAGATATTTGGGATAAAGTAGTAGAGGTCTTAATTCAAATGCTTTTCTTTGGTAGATATATTGTCTAGGGGGAATTACGCTTATTTTTTTTTTAGTACAAGTAGAACGAAGAGTTTTCCCCCCTTTCCGCCGACTCTTTGGCCTTAAGAACGCTAGTTTTAAGAATGAGTGATTGCCCTTCTCCGACCCTTTCGTTAGTTGGGGGAAGAATCCGTTCGAATCGGATTTTTGCAAGGTTCGTCCACGGAGGATGAGTCAGGGTCTAAGAACAGGCCAACCTCCTTGCTTCTCTCACGGTACAATCCTCTTCCCGCCGAGCCCCTATCCGATTTTTTGTGTTTTCCTTATGCTGACCCTCAGCCCCTATGGTCCAGCGGCTTTTAGAATTGAAAGAGATTGAGAGAGATCAAGAATTTGAACATTCTTTTCTATTTCTAGAATTTATTTCTTGGTGTCAAAATTAGGGCCCCTAAATGACCGCTCAGTGATAAAGAAGGTAGGGGTGCAGAGACAGTCAGGAGGTCCTTCGCCACTCCACTAGTGGCTCGGTTTCGTCGTCCTAGAAGCTACTATCCCTTGTTGTTTGAAAAAACCCGCCACTTCAATTGGTATTTTTTCATCATCCAACCATCGTTCTACGGTTTTCCAAGTCATATATTCAACCAAAAACCTTCATGGGTTGGTATTTCTGCTTCATGGACTTTGCACCTTTCTTATTTCAATTCAGAGTTTAGATATATATTGTTGAAACACTGGTAGGGTTGCTCACCAAGAGGCAGTTTCTTTATTACAAAAAAACTTTTTTGATAGCTAAAGTAGGTAGCTAGGCCACATTATTGGCTTTGCTGTTTCCTTTTTCCCAATAATTATTAAAGTGAAGCATCAATGATTTTAGGGTTTGATCCATTCTAGGGCTCTTATCCTTTTCTTTTTCTGTAACTGTATATTGTTGTCATTAGCCATATAGGGTTTCATGCTTAATTAAAGGTTTTCATGCATTAGATGGAAAGAACACCAAAAGCAGTGCAGAGATCAGTACGACCAAAAGCTTCAATTCAATGGCTGCTACAGTCATAAAAGGTCTTGCTGCAGGCTTCATCTTTCTACTTATTTTCTCAAGTTTCTGCACAGATATCAACCATCTTTTCTTAGCTTGTTTATAAGGTACTTATGCATGAATTATGGAAACATGATTTGGTTCCCAAAATGTTACATGCTCACCTTATTATCTCAACCAATTTAATCAAGCAACAAAGTAGTTGATTACCTTCTAAACTTTATTTCCCACAAACACGGTCAACGTACATAACCCTAGTACCCAACCTTTGATCGAAACAGGAACAAACTCTGCGCTTTTGTGCTCACCTTCCAAACGCCCAAACGGAATCTAACTTCTGTTATCTGAAAGCCAAGCACAGTTTTTTTTTTTTTTTTTTCATACTAGTTAATGAGGCAATATATTTAAATTTAAACATTAATTAGAACTTGGGTAAATCATCACTCTTAAATGTTACATTTATGCATTTTATATCTCGTTACAATATAATATATATGGTGATCCACGGTGGTCCCGAGAGCAATAAGCAATGGAACAGTGGGATATCTTTAAAAACCCTTATTCCTTTGGTCCCTCCTCTACACACACAGTAGCTGGCTTTATCTAAGCTGCAATCCTTCTGTGGTTCACACGATAGTTTTCTCCTATATCCACATCCTGCAAAACTTGTCTACTTAATTGAACTGCATTTCTTTTTCTAATTTGATTGCAAAGATTGATAAAATGGCTTATAATTTGAACTACATCTTCTTGTATTATGTATTTTTGAGTGTTGATAATCAAACCTGCATATGTATACCTTATAACTGATTGATAAATTAGCTAGCTATATGTGGTTGGCAATGAAGCATTAATCCTCCTTTTCTACCATGGGCCGGCTAGAATGGTCCAGCGTATAGTTGAAGTTGTATGTACTGTATACCTTGATTGGTTTAATCATACACCATCGATCGTTTGTATATAATTGATATATGACTATATGATTACTAAAGGGATGACCAGTAGAACTTTCTTCACTAACCAGAATGTCCAGTGTGTGGTATGCACTTATCTAACTAGCGTGTCGGCTGACAAAGACACCACCTGGTTGTAAATTCGCCATTCCTTTTTCTTTTCTTTCGCGTGCAACATGGTAAGATTCTAAGAAATGTTATCTTTTTCACAAAAATAAAAATAATAGAAATATAAATAATTGGAAATTATATATATATGTATAGATATATTGTGCTTTCCTTTTGTTGCAAATAATTGGGAATCAGATTATCATACAGCTCTCCCCAAAGAACTTGCACACAGCTTCTTCACCAATTCTGTTGGGAGACTGATGCTTTACAGAAAACTTCACAATTGAATGTTACCAGCTGATCTGCAGTAGCAAAGGCGCATATAGTTTTACTCGATGTGAGTTCATTTTTATGATCTATACCTTTCGAAAGAGTACTGTCACTGCAGATTGAATTTGCAGGTATTAATTAGCCATAACATGTAAACGATCTCAAATTATACTTCCTTATTCTTGTTCATCTTCTCAACTTTCATAATCGATGTTTATCATCATAAAGTTAAGCATGTTTTTAGATCTTGAAAACAAAACCCTAGTTGGTTATTACATTATCTTCAAGGAATATTCAACACGTATGTCAACTCTCTACCTGTGATCTCCTTAATTCCTAATTGAGGCTGAATAAACATTCCTTGGATAGTTAATTATGTGTTCATTATTCATTTCAAAACAAGTGATTGCTATCGTTCTTGAAAACTAATTTCTACTGTTTGATTAACCTAGTTTAATTAGCATAACCTAAAAGAACCCAAGATAGAAAGTTAGAAATCAAATTTACCTCACTTGAAGATAAGTAACTAGTGAACATTACTTGTGTGTTTAGCGGCTTTCTTGCAGCCAGATGGTGCAAGAAGTAAGATGTTCAACAATACTTCAGGGAGAAAAGACTTTCGAGCAAAGCAAGAAGGCGATAGCAATGAGCCCATGGTACCAAAGCATACATCAATGTCAAGACAATGGGCAGGCTTTAAGAACCCTCGAATTGTAAGGGTATCAAAGGCTTTTGGAGGAAAAGATAGGCACAGCAAGGTCTGCACTGTAAAAGGACTAAGAGACCGAAGAATTAGGCTTTCAGTCCCTACAGCTATTCAATTGTATGATCTTCAAGATAGGCTAGGGTTAAACCAACCCAGCAAGGTCATAGATTGGTTGCTCGATTCAACTAAAGATGATATTGATAAGCTTCCACCCCTCCAAATGATAACTGGAGATTTCAATCAACTGCATCCAGTACCAGCCTTAGTTCCTCAAGATTTGAATTCTCCTCAAATTTCTTTCTCTCAGTTCCTTAGTACTCCAAATACAGCATTCATAAAAGATGTAGGAAACCGAACCTTACTTTATACCAAACAAGGAATGAAGCATGACAATGATATTGATAATGACATCAATATTGGAGATCATCAAAGATTGAAAGGGAAGGAAGCAATTGTCGAAAGCAAGTGGAATGATCAAGAAGAAAATGGAGATGGCAATGGAGGTTTGAACTTTTTTCCCATACCTCAATTTTCTTATCCAGGATTGTTGCCGTACAACCATTACTATAATTGGGAACCTCCTTCAAATCTATCAATATCCCAGTTTGGGAACCAAGGACTAGTTCCATCTCAAACTGATTCTTCAACGACTCTCCCATCTGCATCCCAGTTTTTTTTGTGTCCTCCTGCTGCTACGACACCTTCACCTTTCCCTCCATATCTCATGCCTACTTTGGGGGAGAATCAAGATCTTATTAGACAAAACAATCACTTCCATTTGTTAACCTCAAGTTCCCAACATGTACCACCAAATTCCCTCATGCCACTACTTCACCTGAGTGATTCTCAAGAGAAAGTATCCTTCAGTTTGGATGCACATCCCAAGGTCCATCAGCAGAACAATGACGATAGATGATTGCCTATGATCGAGATGACAAGGACACGATCACTTCACATGCTTCATAGTTATCATTACAGAACACACACATTTATATATTTTATATATATGATTTCTTATAACTAGATTAATGGTGTGCAATATGCATATGCATGGAGACTATATATATAGTATTTACATGATGTTTGAGCTGTTTTGGGATCTTGATTTCCATCAAGGGGTCGTGAGTTCTCGTGTGATGGATCTTTAATGATCATTACTTTATATATAACAGCCTTCTATGAGGTCTTTGATTTCCGGTTAGTTTTCTTTTTTCTCCAAGACCCGTGAAACAAACACAATATTAGCAAGAAAAAGCGCGCAAATACGCTTTTGTAGCACTCAGCGATGACCAAGAAAAGTGATGCAACAATAAATCATGACCACAACAGGTTCGTTAAATGACCAACAACTACTATATCACTTTCATCATCAACAAAGTGTTCATCATGATATTGCATTCCAGATTGGTTATGGATATTGTGAGATACACACACACACATATATATATATATAGAGAACAAGAAAAATGTTCTAAAATTAGATTTTTGATGGGGTAGAAACTACGACTCATTGCTTTTAACAAGACACAAGTTACATCAATTGGTAGATGCGTGATGTTATAAACATGAGAGATTGGTTTGTCTAATAATTTTGATGGATTCCCCCAAGAACTCGATTCTTGATAAGATGAAAACTATGTAAAGAACTCGGTGAAAAAATCACATCCTTTTTCATGAATATCAACATTGTACTATTACAAACTAAAACCCTAATGCAAGAAACCTTGAAGGGAACAAACTAGGGCTTAGTTGGAGTGGCTCAAAAATTAAGTTGGTCTTATTAAACTTATCCCAAAATACACAAAGTGATGATGTTAAATTAGTGTAAATTTGTAAGAGGATCTGTAAGGGATTCAAAAGTTTTTCAAAATAAAAGCTTAAAATTTCAAAATAACCATTAATTATATTATTAAAATATTTTATATATTCAATTAATACTATTTCTCTTGTAGACATTTCATTTCAAAATTAACTATTGGTGAAATATAATAAAACACCATTTCTCTTTTATGATAATTATTTTAGGAGAGATTTTCCAATTTCGAGAAATTTACGTTTTCTCCTGCTTTCTCCATTTTGAAGAAATTTTTACAGATTTTTTTTTGAAGTATATAATATTTATATACGGCAAATGCAACAATTAAACTCACACACCCTCCTCACCTATGGTGAGGTTTGAACCCCTGACCTCCTAAAAGGCCAAGGGCTACGATACCGCTAGATTCTCAAAAGCACTACTTGACACCCGACTATCATTGACGAAAAATTATTGATGGATTATTAGATATATAACATGGGTTTATATAGTATTTTTGGTTGAAATATGGTTTTTATAATTGTTGGTGATCCTTTAGTTAAGAATATATGTACTCATTGATGCACATACATATTTAGTTCACCCAAATCGTTATTATATCGACTTTTTTTACTTGATTCATTTAAAACCTCGTTCATTAAATTAGTCATCAACTCTTTACGACTTTGTCGATGACCACTAGAAGAAGAACTAGAACCCGCAAAACCACGTGAGGAAGGTGTTTGTGGTTGGTTTCCTCCTCCGTAAAAATGTTTGTAATGATCAAATAAATCTTGAAAATTGCGATTAAATAAACGTTTTTGTTCATTGAAAAAGAATTATTTGTGGCGGTATCCAAACCAAAAGCCACACATATTTGTATAATTAAAACTTCTACACCAACAATATTTAAATACGAGTTTAACGTCGCAGTACAAAGAAAAGCAAATTTGATGCACATAAAATATTTTAACAATTTTTTTTCCACGCAAGACATCAACCTTCCCCAATCGTGATGGTCTTCGTATTGGGCAATTTTACTTGCCAAAATATAGATTTGTTTTAAAACTAAAGGATTTGTTGGATAATAAATTCCCGATAAAAGTGTTGTCGCATTTTTAAAATCGCCTAAAATATCGTACAATCCTTCAAGCACGGCCCAATCAAGATTTCCAATAGAGTTTTGTGGGTAATGGTGTCTATAAAAAGCAAAAATATAATTTTTTTTTGTTTTAATAAATTTTCAATTATAAAATATGTCGAATTCCAACAAATGGGCATATCGTGACTCGGTCCCAAAGCTCTAAAACCGACGTCCTCGCAATACTTTCTATAGGCCGCATGTATTTTTTACCTTTTGTGAAAATTCGCCGCAACATAAGTCTAAACTTATCTATTACGGGTTTACAAATATTTAAACCGTCTTGAACGGCTAAATTTATTATAACAACAACGTGTATTAAATAATTTATCGTCTAAAATAGGTGTCAAATGACACTTTAATTTTTCCACACAAGAAATGTTATTACTAGCGTTATCAAATGAAATACTAATTATTTTAGTGGTTAAATTATAAAATGCAAGAGTTTATTTAATAATCGAAAATTGATGTGCACCCTAATGTGGCGCACCAAACGGTTCAAACGCGATTACATGTTTGAATAAATGTCATCTTGTGGGCTCAACCCAATGTGCCGTTATGCATATATACGAAACCGGCAATTCGTATGGTGTGCTCTATACATCACACATTAAAGAAATATTGTTAGGCAAAGCGGAAAACATTTGTTGTATTTCGGACTGACACATTTTCCACATTTTTATAGCATCACGTCTAAGGGTTTGACGACTTACCGGCTTGTATCGTGGTTGTAGCGTGTTTTGAATCATCTTCGTAACGTGAGGGTTGTCGAAATGTCTGAAACGCAAACCGACTTGAATGACACATTGTGTTGTCATTTGTCGGTTCAAATCGGCATCGTAGGACCATATTTGACCTTGGGTGTCAAGTATCGATTGGCTTGAATCGCCCCCCGACCTCAACTTTGGGCACGATTTTTCGGTGTGCGTCCTTAACATAGAATTTCCTTCCGCCGTAAGGAGAGCTTGACACAATTTGCATTGTGCCTTTCGTTTTTCGGTCGTGAGAACCACCAAGTTGTAGTGATTCCAAATTTCGGACTTTCGTTCGTGTTCGGCAAAAACTTGGGCAACTTGTTCATTTGATGGTTGTTCACCGGCCATTTCGTAAGTAAAAGAGAGAAAGAAACGAGAATTGTGAAGTGGAAACGAAAAATTAATACGTAGCGAATTCACAAAATGGAGCGAAAAACCGAGAATTGAGAGCGTTTTTTGCGTTTTTAAAGATGAGATGAGTTGATATGTTAACTAGGAAACTCTCATGCATATTTATACTAATTTGGTAGCAAAGAAGATAAAAAAAAAGAGGGTCAAAATCGTCCCTAATCGCTAGTTAGATTGTCCCTAACGGCTATGTTGACTTCTAACGGCTAGTTTGACCGTCTGTTGACTTTCGTTGACTTTTGTTGGCCGGGCCGGGCCGGGCCTATAACCGGTTCCATAACCGGTCCCGGTCGGTTTCGGTCCCAGAAAACGTTAAATACCATAACCGAATCGTAACTTGCGGTCCCTCAACCGGTCTCGATCGGTTCCGGTCCTCCGGCGGTTACAAGCCAGACCGGGCCAATTTGACCATCTCTAATGTAGTGTATGCATCAATTGCATAGAATGTATGTATGTATATAGTGTATGATTGATTAATAATATATGAATATATCTATATCATGTATAACTAGTTGTGTACTCGCGGGAGCCGTGAATTTTAACGATTTTGAAGTTTCACTGATTTTATTAGAGAATATTTAAGGATGATATAAGTGGCACTAGGTCTTTGCATATTAATACAATTTGAATAAATAAGAGTTATGGTTTCAGTTACAGTCTATCGATGAAAAATTGTATGACGGTTTAAAATCCATCCTATTTAAACGACTCCACAAATGTGTTCGATTTACACCAAGAGCAAAGAATCAAAAGATCGAGAGCGAGACCGAGAGTTTGAGAACAATTGAATGAGAGATGAATGAGAGAACTTTTAATAACTCATGGTGAATATCAGTTTGAATCTCACATTGGGGGATAAGGAGAAGACATAGAAGTATGAGAGGGTGAATGCATGAGTGAAATATGTCAAAAGTATCTTGTAAACATGAAAATGAAATGTAATAATGTGCATTGGTAACTTATACTATATGTTATTTTAATTGTAGATTAAGAGATTTTAAAACTGAATGCATAAAGTAGTAGTACTTAATGCATTATTAGTTGTTTTTAATACGTTTAAGGCTTTGTGCATAAATGTATAATACTTTGTGCATTAAAAATTGTTTTTAAAATTTTTGATAAATTTGGTTTATAAGGTAGTATAAATAGTGTATGATTATATGTGCATGCAGACATACACGTGCACACACACACGTATGTGTCTATGTATGTATGTATATTTATATTGTATTATAAATCATTTGACAAAAACTCTTAAAAACCATTGTTCATGCGTAAAGTACTGTTTATTAATGCATATTACTTAAAACTCAAGATTGCAAGTAGATTGTGCATAAGTACAACTTATTAAAACTATATATCTGAATTCATGTAASTAACTGCAGATAAACATAATCAAATACAGRATAAACATCTCATTTTAAATATAAAAAATCTAAAATATAATTAGAATAATCATTGAATTTAACAAAATACTTAATTATTATCTTTATAAAATTTATAATATTAAACCAAAAATAAATTATTTTATTATTAAACTTAAACTAAATTATAATAAAAGAATAAATTAAAGAAATTACATAAAAAATATGACTTTTAAATAGTTGATTTAATATTAATTTCGTTTGTTTTTTAAAAAATTTATAATATTTCATTCAAATATTAATATTAATTACTGTATGCATATCATTTCATATACATAATAGTATAATAGTGTGTATATTTATGTATATATATATATACACAAACGCACACATAAAAGTTCAAACGAGAACACATTCATTTTACCAAAACACAAGAATCTTTATCTCATGCGATAATACATGAGAGGGGCCTCATGGAGTACTGCCGAGGTGGCTGGCGACCTAGGGTGCACCAAAGGTCAGTCGTGTATCTAATTTAGTATTGCATACAATGGAATACAGTATTACATGTGATTGATTATAATAAAAGACTTTTTTCACGTTTTCATAAAATAAATTTGTTCTCAT